ATGTCATATTTTCTTAGATTGTCTTAATCCAGTATCTCTATGTTGTTGCCAGGTAATCTGGCAGAGCAGTTGCTTCTTCTATTACTCTGGAGTGGGCTTTGAGGGGAGAGACGTCCTCTTCTTTTTCTAGTCTCCCCTGATGACTCTCCTTGCGTCAAGGTAGTTTAGTGTCTTGTGGGCTGCCTGCATGTTGACCATGGCAACTGCTGTGGGGTCAAGCTGCTTTTGCAGCAGTCATGGCTGTGGCAGTGGCTGTGGTGGGCCACCTGTGTGGAAGTGGTATTTTCAGCATGCTCCTTGCCTGCTTCTGGGTAGGGAATGCTGCCCTTGCCTCCTACCTATGACCTCGGGTGTGTTCCTTGCCTACTTCCAGGCAAAGGGGGCTGCTCTCAGCTCCTGTCTAGGTCCCCAGGTGTGTTCCTTGCCTACTTCCAGGCAAAGGGGGCTGCTCTCAGCTCCTGTCTAGGTCCCCAGGTGTGTTCCTTGCCTGCTTCCAGGTGGAGGGGGCTGCCCTCGGCTCCTGCCTAGAAACCCAGGCATCAAAAAAAATGTGTTCTGCTGTTGGTGGTGGGTGGAGTGTTTTATAATTGTCAAGTAGATCTAGAATAACACCAATTAAGTGGTGATATTCAGTTCTTTTGTATCCTTGCTTACCAGTGGTATCAATACTTGAGAGAAAAACGTTGAAGTCTCCAATTACAATTGTGAATTTGTCTATTTCTCCTTTCAGTTAAGTCAATTTTCTCTTCATGTATTTTGAAGCACTGTCATTAGGTGCTTACATAGTTAAGATTCTTATGTCTTCTTCACAAATATATTCTATCACAATGTGATATTCATCTTTATCCCTGGTAACTTTCTTTTCTCTGAAATCTACTTTAACTGGTGTTAGTATAAGCACTCCAGCTTTTTAAAATTAATGTTTATATATTTGTATCTAACCTTTTACTTTCAACCTACCTATGTCGTTATATTTGAAGTGTGTTTATTGTAAAGGGATATCTACAATAAAAATAAAGTTGAGTCATTTTAAAAACTCAGACTAATAATCTCTGCTTTTTTAATTATTGTGTTTAGACATTTTACATTTAATATAACTCTTATGTTTGGATTTATGTCTGCCATTTTATTATTTGATTTCTATTTATTTCCTGTTTTTTGTTCCTCTGTTTTTCTTTTCCCTTCTTTTGGGTTACTTAAACATTTTTTATTATTCCTTTTTTAAAAAGTTTTATTGTAGTAAGAACACTTAACAAGAGATTTATCCTCTTAACAAATTTTAAGTGTAAAATATATTATTCTTGACTATAGGTACAATTTTGTTCAGTAGAGCTTATTCATCTTAAAGATACCATATCCCTGTTGATTAATAACTCCCCATTTTCCCTGGCCTCCAGCCCATTCCAGTACCACCCTTACAGTCTTGATTTTATGAATTTGACTATTTTAGATACCTCATACAAGTGAGCCATGCAGTATTTTTTTTTTCTGTTTCTTGCTTATTTCACTTAGCATAATGTCCTCAAGGTACACCCATGTTGTGATGTATTGCAGAAATTCCTTCCTTTACTGGCTGAATGGCATTCCATTGTCTATTATGTTTTAACAATATTTGTGGGTTTTTATTTGTTTGTTTTAGTGGTTGCCCAATGGATTAAAACATACTCTTACTGTATGTTCACATTTTATTTAGAATAAATATTTTACCACTTCAACTGGTATGTGGATACCTTAACACTATATAAATTCCCCTACCCTCTTTCCTTTATGTTGTAGTTAACTTATATATTACATCAATCTACATTAAAAATCTACCAGAAAGTCACCATTTTTTGCTTTCAACAGATTGTATCCTGAATGCTTTAAATATTTTATTACACAACCCTGGGTCTTATTGAAAGACCCATTCTATGAAGAATTTTATTTTTATTTTACCAGGCAATTGAACCACTTGGATTAAGACCCTAAACATTAACAAGCTTTATGGTTTCAATGTCAGTTCTGTTTCATTGCCTTTCAGTTATTTTGGACCTACCCTGTATATACGCCTTCCAATGGCCTATCTGGGACTCAGGAAGTGGTCTATCTTATAGCTCAATTCTCAAAGTTTATGGTATTCTATTAGGGGTCAGATTCAGACGTGCACAACTTGGGGGTGAATCCAGGAGTATATAAACAACTCTATGGGTTTGTTTTCCTGAGCTCCTCTCTTTACAATCTCCAGGGTATTTTCTCCTCCTCTTTGCAGTTCTCTGATTACAGCTTGGGGACTTTATTCACACCATTCTGCAGTGCACTTTTCACAACTGTTTTCACCTCTGCAGCCAAATGATAAGAGGACATAGAGAGGACACAATTCATAGAAGTCTGTCGCACCTCTTGGGACCACAGCTCCTTATACCAAAGTGGACAGTTCCTCTTCCTTACAGATGTAGGCTCTTGAGGGACCCTACTGACACTGCATTTTTTGGTGCTACTGCTGCCAACACAAGAGTGCTTCGGGGCTGGGTAGTGAAAGAACATAGAAGGGGAAAATGTGGGAGTGGTAGGAAGCCCCTTTCCCAGACTTCAAGCCTGCACTAGTGGCCTTCTCCTGGACTCTCTGTTGTCACAGCTGTCCACTTGTGGGTTTCAGACTGTACTGAGTCTACATCAGGGGGGATTGGAGGAACAAAAATATAGAACTTTAGTTCCTGTCTTCTCCCATGTGCCTGTTTCTATTTATTTTTCAGAATCCTCACATTGGTTTTTTGTGTGTGTTTTATTGAGTTTGTATAGCCGCAATAAGAGAGAGAGAAAGGGTGGTGTGTATTTACTTCATCTTACCTGGAATTACAACATAGAAATAATAGAGATGTAAAGTATAGGTTTAAAACCCAAAAGAGACCAGAAAAGCTGTGGAAACTTCCTGAGATGTCATACAGGGTCAGTGAGGATTACTGTACCACATGTGTTAAATGTAGGGTGACCATCATCTACACCAGGATGCTTTTTCAGAGTGAAAGAGAACACTATGAAAATTACACTTGGCAAACAGGTGTAAACTAGGAACCAGAACATACGGCCACCTTATTTAGAAGGTGTGGTGGGAAAATAATACTCTTTTCTGATTGTATTCTACTGATTCCAATTGTTTGGTTACAATCAGTCTCCTAAACATATAAATTCTGTTCTGGTTGATTTGCATGTAAAAAATATAAACAAACCTTTGTTCTGAGTGCTAATTTGTCATCTTCAGTATACCTACTATCCCCGAAAGAGCGCATTCTGTAACTATTAGAACTAGATCTCTTTTTGTGTATGTACAAAACTGAAGCTTTGAGGATCTTTCTGGAAAGCTAAGAACAAAACTCTGGACCTCTGGATAGCTCATTTCTAGAAGTATCTATCCTAGAATAAAACAAACCAAAGGAGGTTTCTGAGTCTTGGATCTCAGAGAGTGACTGAGAGGAAAACCAGGCATCCTGGCCATCACCAGAGCACAATGGTACGATGACAGTGTGGGTTCCTTCCTGCTGAGACCCTGCAATGATGCTTCCCACAAGAAACTTCCTCCAGGAATAATTTATGCCCTTTAGCTCATCTTTAACTTTATTACTGAAATTTTATTACTGAATTTTGGTGCCAACGCCACAGTGGTTTTTATGATGTGCGTACCTCTGTGAAGAAAGAGCAGGATAGCATTTCACACAGGCACCAAGGATGGCCAGATGACAATGACTTTTAGCCACTCTCAGCTTGGATCACCTTCAGGCCAGTGGATGTCACACTTTTACATATGTAAAAGTCCATAAGTTGCTTTCCTGTATTGCTTAAATGACGCATTATTCCATTTTTTTCAGGGAAGACGGAGCATGAAAATTTACATCCATATACAACTAGAACACTATTTCAACTGCAGGTTGAACTCTCATGGAGAACAAACTCCTGAGGATGCAATCAGCCTTGCCTGTCAGGAACAACTCCTTGGGCCTCCAGTACATCACCCCGTTACTCAGGAGGACTTGCAGGAGACCACTAGGTCAGCAAGCACGCAGGAGTGCCAGCCTCAACAGGCAAATGGCTCAGACTGCAGTCTGTTCGAGCTCCGTTCTTGCTGCCTGTTAACAAGTGCGCGCACTTATTTCCCAGACGCTTAGCTTGACTGCTGACTCTTGCCTCTACCTTTCTAGTTTGTATATAACTGCAAGTCTGTTCTTTGTATTCCTGTTGGCCTAATAATTTTGGCCCTGTTGTTCCCTTTCCAGTGGTCCAGGGTAAGGTTGTATAATTTATGACCTGCACAAAGTGCTCTGGCCAAAGGGACAAGGAGGAAATGAAATTAACCCTACTCTTCTCCCCAAGCCTATGTCCCGGCACAGGCTACGTCAGCCCTAAGGAAGGAGCACTTCCCATAAGGACACGGTCCAGACTAACCATAGCCCTGTGCACTCTGTGTCCCACTACCTTTTATACTTACTGTCTGTGCTCCAGAGTTGAGGGGTCAACATGGAGTAAGAGTTGTCTTCCTTCTAGAAAAGCTTTAAGCAAAGTATAATCACTTGTTTCTAATAAAATAATATTTATTTGATTAAAAATGTACATAAAGTCATATGTACAATACATAGTAGACGTGACAGTCCATAACCACAAAGCAGAGGTAGCTGTGTCTGCTGATTTTGCCCAGACCGCTAGGAAAATCTCGGGGATGTTGTGTGCTGAATGTGCTCAATGGTTTGGAGAACCCACTCTCCCTCTGTCCAGTCCAGGAAATCAAAGGCTCTAAACCACAGCCTCAGTCTCATTCCAGTGCCTGTCGAGCTGCTCGGGCTGGCAGAAGCATTCATGCTGTGTGTTCTGTCCATCGACACCTCTATGCCAGGGACTGGCAGGGAGGTGGCGCCAGGACCCGTTTCACCAGTCCCCAGGCTGGGAGCTCCTTCCAGTGGTTTCTGTTTTACTGAGTCCTTTTCAGTGAAAAAAAACTTGGGAAAATTCTGAGTTGGTTCCACGTGAATCCTTTAGTTTTTCACAGGCATGTGGTAGCGCATTTGGGTCCAGAACCTGGAATTGGGAGGAACTGATTTTAAGCCTCTCCACGTGACTGTGGGCAAAACTCTGAGAGCTTTTTTCACAAGATAAGGTAGAGACTCTGGCTCCTGGAAGGAAGAGAACTGAATTAAAATGAGCTTCGGTGTTTGATCACTCAAGGCAAGATTCACTGCTGCTTGTAGTTCAAAGACACTGGGTCCGTTGACATAGTTGGGGCTCAAGATAAATATTCCTCTTCTGCTCTTCTTAATAATGTTCACAATGTCTTCTGCATACACTGGAAATAAAGAATTTAATTGTAATTGATACTGTTAAACCTTGAATCACAATAACCTTGAATCTCTGAGATCCACTCCAAGGTTCCCTGCAATGGATACTCTACATAAGGAGGAAAGGAGACGCGGTTTACTCTATCACTTTAATCACGTCAACTCTACCAACAGTTGAAGATACCCTCTAGGGTCTAGTCCCTCTCAATTTTACATTCCTTCCTTTGTGTTGTCTCCCCAAATTGTCAATTCCTCTAGGAGCAAAGCTCATCGAAACTAGGTAGACTGGGATAACAGGGGTTATGGGATGTCCCAGGCTCCTTGGTGGGAGTATCCAAGGCAGACGATGTCAGCAGGACATATGAGGTCTGGAAGTCTCATAGATGGCCAGGGATGGGCCCAGGCCTGAGGAACCTGCTCGACCCAGGGCAGAGGCTTGTGGAGGACAGAGTCCCAGAAAGCAGGGAGGCCACCTGTTTATAATGACAGAGAAAACCTCCTGACACAGAGTCAGGGAAGACATCTTTGTTCTGGAAGGCCTACGTAAGGCCTGATATTATTTTCTTTTGAAGATTGATTTTTGCAATGACAAAGTATGTCTCTGAAACACATGTATGCTCATGAAACCTCCAGAAGATGTATATCCCCCAACGGAAAGAAAGTCAGAAAAGACTCAGAGAGAGCTTGCATGTACCTGCCCTCTGTGCTCCATATTTTTTCTTGGCATACAAGACTTACCTCTTCCTGGGGCCACATCTCTTTCAAGCAAACACAAGGTATATCCATATTTGTTTTCCAAAACTTCAGGGAACAGATTCAGGGCCAAGTGTTCCTCACTCAGAGATGAAGCGGCCTCATTCTCAAAAGAGCTCCATTTTGCATAGGATACGAAAGCATCAAATTCCTTTTTATCTGAGGAAGAGGAACAATGAAAAAAGTAAGCCATTTGTGTATATTTTTTACGATCATGGTACACATGCATGTGCTTAAAACATACAGTAAATGCATAAGAAATAAGATTCAGGAGCCTTTCAAAATTGACTTAAAAAACAAAAAGCAGTGGCCGCCTCTATTTTCAAGTCACACTGAATGGCATTGATTGTCTGCCCCAAATCAAATTCTAGTTTATGAAACACTCTTGCATTTGCACTGGAGTTAGATCAAACCGCTGGGTCTTGGGTGATTAAATTGCAGCACTTGGAGTTCCTGGAGCTTTCTGTGCATCTGCAGTGTTTGTCTCATTTGCTACAAATCAAAGAGGAGTCTGCTCCATCGGAGCATGACACTATCCAGCGAGCAAAGGACTGCTAAGACCCAGCACCTGTGTCCATAGGAGAAAAAATACTCCCGTAGAGAGCTGACAGCCCATATACCTATATTTGAATCCCCACATGAAAAATGAAGATCATAACTTTCCAGCAGGCTGTTTTAAGGATTGCATGAGATAATGTACATGTCTGGCTTGTAGCAGGCACAAGATAAATATCCATTCCCCTCCCTTCTGAGTAGGAAACTATATTTGTAGACCTTATTTTAGAATATTTTAAAGATCTCACATGCCTCCATTGACTATATTATTACAAATGCACATTGACTACTGGAGCATGCTAAAGAACTAACTGCAACAAGTAGAAAATCCCAAAAGTTAACTCACAGGCTTTGAAATGGGACACACCCTCCCCAGCATGTCCCGTAACCACTGTCAAATAGAATTGTCACAAAACAGTAAACAGTCGTCCGATTGCTGATGCTATTTGATGCTCTTTACTGTTGCTCAGCGTGGATCTAAGAACAGGCCTCAGTGGAAGGAAGTGCCAGCAGCAGAAGAGGAAGGTCCAAGAAGCAATGGAGGAGAAAACCAAAGAGCCAGGGCCCAAAGGGGGCTGATCTCTGAAGTACGCATTGCCCAGGTGGGAAGGAGCGGGCTCCTGGGTGAGCGGCAGGTGAGCGCTGCTGTGCCTTGAAGACTGCAACACACCTTAGCAGCCTCCCTTCCTTTCACACCCATGAGAACCCCCAGCCAACCAGGATCTTTCTATAATCTGGAAACTGAATTTCTTTTGCAATAAAAGTGTGAAATATTAGGTGATTTAGGTCCTCCCACAATTCTAACATTCTAGGTCTTTCTAAAATTTTAAATATTAAGCATTAACTTCAAAGGAATGATTTTGCTGAAAAACATCAGTTTGGCCAGCAGAGGACACTGCATCACTGTGATTGAAAATCGGCTCTGCCTCCCACCCCGCATCCGATTACTACATGGATTAGATAATTTGCTCCATTCAAAAAAGCTAATATTTTTTTTAAATAAATCTCAAAAACACTGTTGGTGTAAGGACAGTGATCAGACAGCTCTGCATTGAATTCCTGGTGCAGGAAAAGCACTGGAATCTGGAGAGGCCTCCCAGTGGATTCCGCTCTTTTCAAGCAACAAAATCATTCACTAAAACTGCAAACATTCTAACCTTAGAGAATTTCAGGATTAGAAAAAACAGAAGCAGCTCTTCTAAAGAAGCAGAATCAATGAACATTACTATCCTGTCTCGTGGGAAAATTGACAGGCATTACATTAATAGTAATAGTACTTACATTTTACAGAACTTCCCACTTTTGGGGACATTTCCATCATTTTAAAGCCCCTTGTTTTACAGATAAGGCTAACGGGATCTCTTAAACCAGACAATTTGAGTCCGAATCCCAAGCTCTAACACCTTCCGGTGGTTCAGTTTTTGACACATGACATCATATCAGCCTGGCTCATAGGTTCACTGTGACAGTTAAAGTAGTGACCACGCATGACAGGCACACACTGCAGTCCTTAGGAAGCAGTGACAGCTGGCATGTGCTGAGCACTTACTATGTGTGAGCACCATTCTAAATGCTCAGTATGTCTTAACTCAGAGTGCCCACACAGCATCCTTTGGGACTGGGGCTGTTACAGTCCCATTTTATAGATGAGGAAACTAAGGCACAGAGATGCTATGTCATTTGCCATAGTGCTCTAGGTTGTTTACTAGAGAGATTATTTCAAGCCCAACATGCCCCACAACAATATTGTCTACAAGATTTCTGGTAAGGGTCATGAAAAAAAAACTGTTTCTCCAGCCTTCTCTGGCGTGAGGCCACCAGACCTGGAGGAAGGCCTGGACACCTGCAGGTACCATGATGTTGTCCATTTTCCGAGCTCTTCCCTCATGGTCTGCCCTGGCTGGCAGCAGGAATCTGAAATTCTTTCCTCAAATAACTCTGAGGAAACAATGTCGATGGCTAGCGATGTCATTTTCTATTGTCCTGTATTATCACAGTCTATGTCAGTTCTGAGAGGAAGTGTCAGCGGGCAGCGTGTTGGGGCGACCTTACCCCCCAGCGTCTCGTCCTTGCTCTGGCAGGTTCGGTACAGCAGCACTATTTCCATCCAGTGCCTGTACAGGAGGGCACTCGCCGCCAGCACGCCCACCAGGGCCATGATGGTGCCATGCAGGACGTACACGAACAGCACTGGGAAGACACGGCAGCCGTGAGCAAACACAGAAGCCGCAATCCGGGACCGGGACCACATGGCACCAGCACCATGAGCCTACCCTGCGCCTTTTCCTGCCCTATTATCTCATCGAAATCACTGCTGCATTTCTTCTGAATCTGGGAACGTCTTGAAATCATGTCTTGAGGGAACTATCTTACAGTAACTCTAGAGAACTTGGGGGAACGGGCAGTTCCTGATCAGGGTAGCCTGGAAAACTTATCACAGCCATTTTATTTATTTTCTCCCCCCAAAAAAACTTCCACATAATCCACTTGCATTCCTCTCATTGTATACCGTAAATTATTTTCATGTATTATTGTCCTTACTAAAGTTTCAGCTTCCTGAGACTGGGAGCCATGTCTGGTTTACCCTTGCACCTGCCACGGGAGGTAGCTAACGTAGGGATCCCCTACAGACCTGTGCTGAGGGAAGTCACCGGACAGGGCACCCACTGCAGACCAGGAACACACTTTGTCTTGTTTAAGCCTCACACACTTTCAAACCTGCTCATGCTGCCATCATCTATTAATTAAATGAATGAATGAGTGAGTAACATCAACTTCCTCTCTGGGCACCTTCTTTAAGAAATTACCTTTATAGGTAATTCTACTCCAGCTTTAAAAAAGGTCTGACCTGTGACTCACGCATATCATTCTGAACGCTGAGCAAGACTACGCCTCCATTCTCCAGCCTTCAGACATGAATCCATGATGTGCTCTGGATTCAGAAGCCAGGAAAGGGAGCTGACTCTTGGCACAGTGTCTGCACACTGGGCACGCCCTGTAGGTATCTGTAGAATGAATGAACGAGCGAGTGAATGAGGGACAGGCTTTGCCAGCACAGCCCCATGCGCGGAATCTCAGTAAGAGGATCAGCTGTGCACCACTGATGCGCAGCTGCTAGAACACTCCATGGGTCACCATAACCACAGTGCTTAGAATAGTGCCTGACACCTAGAAAATGTTAAATGCTGTCATCACTGTTACTCTTCTTCAGGAAAATTCCTCCCCTTGCTAGTAAAGGCAGCTGCGAACTTGCAGGGCAGGTTCCGGGCTCACCTCCCTTCTCGGGCCTCAGTTGGACGGACTGGGTCGTGTTCCCGATGGAGTTCTGGGCAAAGCAGACGAACTTCCTGCGAAGATCACTCTGAGTAACCTCTGTCAACTCTAGGACCCGCTCGATGATTTCATCCTTTAAGGTGGACTTAATCCTAGGAAAGGAGGAGAAATACCACACCCACTCAGTCACGGGCAGTAACACCTACTGGTGGATCTGGAACTTGTGTGAGCAGCCAGCGGCCGGGTTCTCAGGAAAGCTGTGGGATCAGGAAGACACCAGAAGAGTGTAAACTGGTTAGAGAGATCTCGTTCTTAATTCAATTACTGACTCTGCTAAGCATTTACACTAAGATATAATTTACTCGTGGCCCTCATCTGACTTTCTTTACTCTGAAAATTCTCCTAGAGAACAGATAATAATAAATACTAATAAAGAAAATGATTAAGTCCTGATGAGGACATCTGTGTACCAGGCACGCTGCTGAGCAATGAAAATGGGCTCTCAGACCCCCTCCACTCCGTACCCCACAGGAGCCCCACAAAGTAATAATGCAAACATCCTGACTTGGCCACAACCGGACGAGGCACAGAGCAGGTGAGCAGCTCCAGGTCACTCCGCAGGGAGGTGGCTGCCGGGGTCCTGGGCCTAGGCCATTCTGCCCCATCCAGGAAAGTCTGAGTCTCAGCGTTTACTCACGATCCACATTCTCTAAAGTTGCCGATCTACAAACTGTCTTCACGTTAAGAACTCTTATCTATGTGGTTGATGTGTTAGACTGTGTTGCTCTAAGCCTGCAGCACAGGCTCTTCCTCAGTGAGTGCCTCCCACCTGCCACACACTGTCCCCACCCCTGTGGTGACTTTGCAAAGTGCAGGTAGTT